GACCAAATCATTCCCTGAAATATTCCATGATACGTATAAGTGTGTGCCTACACGAAGAAATTCCATGGCTTCTGATGCAGTGAAGTTACGCCATTGCTCACTTTTTTTCCAATTGGACTTTTTCGGTACTTTTTTTTCTCTTCTTTCCGACATAGAGATGAGTTGGCTTTAGATTCATTTACTAAGTTTTACATAACTAATATGTTATGGTTTTTATTTTTCACGCAACGGAAATAAATTGTGTGAATCTTAAGTGGATATCCGATTGTGTCTTTGTACAATGTTTGACGAAGTATGAATTGAAAATGAAATGGATACAAGCGACTTTTTCTTTTTTTTTTAGTTTTCTTTGTAACAGGTTTGCATTTTTTTTATAAAACCAATCTCTTTATATGTGCTCTAGCACAGCACCATTCCATTTTGACATATTGTTATGCAAACATCTAATGAAAAAAAGCGTGAGAATGGAAAAAAACCTTTCGCCCAAAAACAAATTCACTCAACTTGGTGGCAAACAATTAATCGGATTGGAAAAAAATCCTCATTTCTCCAGTAGCTTTGTCAGGGACAGAAAAGTTATGTGAATCATGTTTTCTCAGAATTCTATTTTATAAATGGTAACCACTCCTAAATGTGCTTTCACTGTCTGTTCGAAATTTGTTCAATTTCCTTCGAATCCACAAAGTTTTTGAAGATCTCTTTCTTTGCTCTATAATTTTTGCCAAATTTAGCGTACCCTAGATTACTTCCATGTGGAAATTTTAATTTTTTCCCTTAATTGCAACTAATCAACATATATTGAATGAATATTTTTAAAACGAGTTTTATATCGAGTTGGTGATTGTATTTGATTGTATTTATTTATTTATAATGAAAACTGTCAAATTATGCTAATGTTTTTGGAAGATTAACTTAGATTGTTCATACCTTTCGGTTTCGACATGAATTGTAATTTCAAAACTACCAACAGGGACTTGTTTAAATTAGACGTAAAACTTCACTTCAATTTATCACCTCTTTGATAAGTTGAACGATGACTTTTGCAGTCATTGAGGTTGACACTAACATGTTGAACGCTCCAGTTAGTCTATCTTTTTTTCCACACGTGTAGTTAGATTACCTTGAACCGTTGACAATAGGTAGACCTCCCATTGCGTCCGGAAACGTCCGGAAAATCGTGAAATTCCGGATATTTCGGCAAGTCTCCGGATTCCGTTTTTTTATCGATTTCTCAGCAATTTCCGGATATTTTGAAATTTTAAGAAAACGTATTGAAAAGTTGTACATTTTTACACAATTTCATTTAAAATTTTTTAGAAGTTACATTTCAAACCATTCCAATCAAACACAACCAATATTTCATACAAATGTACTCAATATACACTTGCATAGTAATTTATCTCCCGAAGTCTTCACAATCAGCAAAGTTTATATATTCGTTGGAAATAGGAAGGAAAAACCTTTAATTTGATATATTATTCATGTTTGAAAGATAATTTTTTAAAGGCATTAGATAGAAAAGAATGAAACGATAGCTGCGTTCGCTAAATCGTTCGTTGACAACTATGCTCACTTGCCGATTTAAAAATGAACGATCGAATTAATCTCTTCTACGATCGAACTCTTTTATCTTATTTTCCCTTATGTTCTTAATTAATGTGTTTTTTTTTTGCTTTATAATGAACAGTGTCAATTACACTTCGCTGTTAGTGTGTGACACATTTCGTTTTAATCCACAAACCCATTATCAGATAACTTAATATATACAGATAGCAAATTGAGTAAGTAATTCCATCTTGCTATTAAAAGCAGGATTTATATGAAATCGTTTGAAAAAAATATATTTTTTCGGTGCAGTTTGATTGTAATGTCAGCAAGCGCAACCGAATATTCAAAATCATGGGAAAATCTCTCAGAATCTAAAGTTTGGTTTTCTCTTTTGGTATCAAGTGACGGCACAGAAAAAGCCTAATTAAATCATGGTGCAACAGATTTTTCAATTGAATATGGGTGATTTAAGGATGTGAAAACCCATATGTTCTCGCATTACCACGATCCAGAGAACGAAACACAGACCGAATGTTGTATTTAACTTAATTTTCTTTAATGTCTTTCTTATTTATTTACTTTATTCTTGTTTTTTCAATATGGAATGAAATCCGGATTTTTTTGGATTTTCTGCTCTCAAACTCCGAACATTTGTCTGAATTCCGTACAAAAATTCCGGATATTTCGTAAAAATCCGATGGGAGGTCTAACAATAAGCTTTCATTACACATTTTCATGTTTGGTCATTCGCTTATTCATGAAGTAAGGTGCCGATTTTTGTCGCTGATTCCAGAGGGCTATTCGGAATTTTGGGTATCGCTTTGGATATATCATCTTTCTGAAAATGCATATCATTCCAAAATTCATCAAGTGGTTCGGCAAGTATAGCAAGAATGCTTAAATCAGCGGAAAATCGGCGGCCGGTCTTGACCGATTTTCAGAATTTTTGCCATATTTGTCGAACCACTTGATGAATTTTGGAAAAAAAAATCATTTTTAGAACGGTGAAGATTATATCTTTCAAAAAATAAAAAATAAATTAAAATCCGTTCATAATTATGAAAAATCAAAATCAAACTATTTAATGTTATACCCATAATTGTATAAAAATCGAAAGATCAGTTTTTTCATGACTCTTGGAGTCATTTTCCTACAAAACCAAATATTCAGCCAGTCTTTTGGCGGTGTTAATAAAAAGAAAAGAAAAGAAAACAGGCATTGAAAAATGTATTTAATCTAGACGAAAATTAAGATTAAGGTTTAATTTCAATTTTTTGGCTATAAATATACAATATAGACGAAGATATATATCATTATATATATCGTTACATTTTGAATAATATGCATTGCGTTAAAATATTTCATTGGAAGGTGTCATTTTATTGGGAACCATGCACATAATCCACGTTAAATATAACACTGAAATTACCACGAAAATGGGCCAAAACGTTACATTACGCGATGGTGAAATCTACTGAAAATGGTTACATTTTTGTTCCTTGGGATAACAATAAGTATTCTGAAAAAGGAGTCGCTTCAACATTAATGGATAATTGTCGAGTTGATATTTGATGAGTTCGAGACAGACTGATGATAAAATGACGTTGTATAGTTAAATCTGTGAATAATGGAATGCTCACCATGAATAGCGGCAAATCTATTTTGAGCGTAAGATTTGTTTTTGTTCAACCAAATTCAAATATATATTATTATTGACATGCATAAATCGTCGTGAGTTAACTGTATAGTTTTTACAATAATCGCACGTGTACTCAAGTGCTGAGAACTGCTTTCCTCTATTGAAGATTCCAATAATGGCGATGATACTGAGCAAAATATTATGCTGGTCCAAACATTAAATTAAACATTCGGTTCACAAATTGATTTTCCTCAAGGAAATTTACCATTTTGCGGGTTCCAAAAACATTAAAAAGAACTAATTGAATTTTTAAGTCATAAGTCATAGAATGTATTAATTTAGTTCAAGATAATTTAATTTGACCACGACAAAACCATCTTCAATCACTTATTGTTTTTCATCATGTAATGTGTTTCATTTGGTTGCAATCGTCGATTTTCTTTGTTCGGTTTAATAGTTCACTATTTACGTTGTTGACAATAGATTTCATTATTAACGGATTTTACTGTAATTGCTTTTCCGAATCATGAAACTGTATTTTCGTAAAGCAACAATGTATGTTACGAGTCAGTATAAAGACATTTATCATTTTCTCACTGAAAAAAACACGGACGGATTGAAAGAAACATCTGTAATTGATGCTAGCTCGAGATGGATGAGCTAACCATAATATATTAAAGGAAAGAAATACTATACTCAATGTAACGCAAGACTGTTTGTTGATGAGCATAGTTCCTAATAATGAACTGGTCATAAATTCATAATCATCCTAATTAACTGTAGTTTGATGATTTTTTTCCATTGTTGATCGTATGTTTGGAAATAGGTTTTCAAGTTGATCGAATTTAGTTTTTATGTATTCTTTCTTACTAAAAACCCAAGATTTTTGGTTCAAAAATACATCTTTTATATCTTCAAAAATTACATAAATATGCCCAATGTTTTGAACTAATATTGACATGATTTCGATGCGTAAAAAATGAAGCAAATCAACAATTTCTTGTATGCGAAACCAAATATAATTGCTCGATCAATAGACATGTTGCAATTTTTTCTTTGGTGATTTTTTAATTCATTATTACTATTATTAGCATTTTTTTGTTTTGTACTGTTCAACTCATTTTGCAGCTGAAAACAGAACTATGTTCATCGAAAACGAATGAAAGATTTACTTACAAAAACACAAAAGAGCTTATTTCTTACGTTATAACCACCAGTTGTATCGACTGTAATACAGTATTATTTTTGATTTACACGGATGGTTACGGGTTTTTGTTTCTTTCAATAATATTAAACACTGGTGTAACGAAACATCGCAAATAACAACAAAAGCTACTCTTTTGCGCGGCTACGAGATGAATACAGATGAAGAGAAAATAAAACTATGGCAAAACGCGAGTCACACTTAATTTGTTTGCAGTTTTTGTAAGTTCAAAACTTGTTTACGATCGTAATGAATGAATTATTGCAAATATTCATTAATATGCGCATGTATGTTCGTGGAAAGTTCCTGCTGTCGCTGACCAGATCGTCGTTGACTCACGGAAGTGTTTTTAAATTGCACATTCCGATGTGTTGCTTTCGGTTAGTTGCATGTTGTCACAATAAATTTGTAGGCGTGAAAGAGAATGGCAAAAAAGCCTCTGAACTGACTCACACTGATTTATCATCTTCAGTTTTGTTTGAAATGTGTGGATTTACAGACAAAATATATGTTCATTATAATTTTTACTGAAAAATTCACAATTGCAAGAGCCATTTCAATATTTTCCGTTTTTTCTGATTTTTTTTCTTTTTTTGTTGTTTGTCATAGGTTCTAGTCTTGTGCACTTTTTCTTCGTTCATTGCAGCAGAAGATGTCAAAACCCCCCCAAAATCCGTAAAAATTACTATTGACGATGCCCGCGACAAACGACAACTTAGTAATTTTAATGAGAATCCCAAACGGACTATACAAAGACGAATTACTACAAACTATTCACCCTACCCAGATTCGTCGTCCTCATCATTGGGCTATGTTAGTTCCCACAATAGCGGCTATGAAAAAGACTTTCCATTAACATATCCAAATGTTCAAAACTATGGACCCACCTATTCAATACAGCCAAGCCAATACGTTGGTGGCTATCAGCAGCAACAGTATGTGGAAGCACCTGAACCAATAATTGAAATCATCATCAAAGATAGTAACGAAACGCTTCCAACACCGGAGCCGGTCAAATATCAACCACCAAAAAAGAAAAAGGAGCAAGTGCAAGTATTTTATGTGAAGTACAATAAAGACGAAAAGAAAGGTCTCATTATAGACGATCCAATTCCAGGTAAGCCAAAAATTTATATTGAAGGTGTGCAAAGAGTTTTATTCACGGGAACAACGCATGGGGAGATTCACGAACGCTCGCACTCGCATAACTCACATAAAACTCGCAAAACTCGGGCAAACCGAATAATGCCCGAATAGTTTGATTTTGCTTGAAAAACACATGAATATGATTTTATAAGCATTCACAACTGATTTAAAAGTATTAATGAAACGATATGCACAAGCAAATCAACTGCAGAATGTAAAAAAATTTCTTAAATCCATTTTATATTTTAAATATGAAACTCAAAAACTCGCAAAAACTCGTAAAAACTCGAACTCGAAAGCGCTCGTGAATCGCCCCTTGGAACAACGACATTTTTTTACTGCAATTTGAACATTTACAGCACTAACGCCGACTCATTTTAATCAAGACGAAAGTCAAGAAGAGGATGAAACAGATGCAGCCCCATATGCTGCTCCAGCCACTGTTTCACCACCCGTATATTCTACAACACTGCGAACAATTATAAAGCCTGATTCCGAAGTATACCATAGTAATAGTGGCATACAAGTTACATTCAACACTGAGAGTAAACATCAAACCGGTCATGAGTTTCAGGAGCATTACGAAGAGAGTGCACTCCAACCGATAATTAGTGAATTACATAGTCCCAGCATAGAACACACACCTCATGTGGCTCCTTCATTTTCTCAGCGACTTCCGTTGCCACCAAATCATCAGCTGAACAATGGAAATGATAGAGCACGTGCTTTTGATATCCCGGGTACACATTCATTGCCACCGCAAAATGTCCATCGATTTGGACCGCCTACCCAATTGAATACGCCACAATTCTTGAGACCAACAGCCGATCAAGGACTTCTACTAAGCTATACGCAAAATCAAGCAAACCGCTTACTTCAATCCCAAAATTTTGACAACCGTTTCAAAAATATTCCAACACCCACAAACAGTCCACCTAATCACCGATTCTCTCCCGACGCACATATTTTGAACTTTGGTCCACCATCAAATTCAGTACCGATAAAATTCCGTACACAATCATCAATAAACCATCAACCAAAACCAATACCAATTCCATTGCATCATGGCGAAAAAAGGCCACACGAATCGCCGTCCGGTCAACATCTGAATCATCATCAACATTACACAAATTTCAATCAATTCCGTTTGAAACCTCAAGCATATTCAACGCATCAAAGTGCCAATCAATTTCAACAATCATTTCCACAACCAATCCGCGTATCCAACCAACAAAATACGGTTGAATCAACCAATCATCGACTGGCACCGCAATCAACAAATCAACCCGTGGATTCCAATCGAAATTCGAATTTCGCATCGCAAGAAAATCTGCAAAATAAATTGATCTTTCAGCAAAAAAGTGCTATTCTGGGACAAACTGCTGCAAATGGTATTTTCAATCAACAGAATCAGCCTCTTTTTGCTGGAAACACTCAAGAATTTAATCGTCTTGTATCTGGCGCTGAATTGGTCGAATCACTTCCCAAATTTGAGCAACATATTACCGAAACTGTTCCTCTGAGCGAAATCAACAAGCCTTTCAGTCCATTTAGGCAACTAACTTCAATACAATCGAGTAGCGTGCACATTGATTCACCGCTGACACATCAGCGGCCACATCATATCCAAAATCCTGGTCTCATCCACCAGCAAGAACAACAGCCGAAGCACATTCAAGATGAAAAACTCTATTTACAACAGTCATTTGAAAACTCAAAACCATTACAATTGCAACAGCGTCAGCATCAGCATGCACAACAACAACAACTACAACAAACGCAACAACAAACACAACAGAAAACAATCTACCACCATGAATCAACAAATGCAAATTCACTTTCACCACAAATCGTATTTCCAGTTAACTACCCCAACAAAAACTATGAATTGCAAGATCAAAAAACGTACAATGCAATTTCATCACCACTGTCAAATCGGCCGGCACCCGTGTTTAACGAAAAAGTGATTCCAGGTATAACCAGGTCTATTATTATTAGTCTAGCAAGATGAAATCGGTCGGTTGAAATGGTGTTATGAGTGCCACACCCACAGTCGTTGTAAGCAATCGAGTAATGCCTATCTTCATTTTAAATGTTTTTTTTCTTTTCTCTGCCATTCAGGAAAGGGAGTTTCGAACTTGGCAACTGATGTATTTGGGGATTTGAGCCAATCGAATTACTATAACGAAAAAGTGACGAACTCACAGGCTAGCAGTCGACATCGTGTAGCACCATCATCCGAGCACCTGGACAGTAGCTTGTCATCATTAAATAGTGTGAGCACAGAGCGCAATTTCGTCACAAATTATGTGTCATCGCCATCATCAACTACACGCAAGGTAACCCTTTCTCCTTCATCATTCGGACCAACAACGATAACATCATCATCAACAACAACAACAACAACGACAACAACAGTTAAACCAACGTCAAAAAAAGTTAATTTACCGGATGAGGTCCCAGATGATTTAAGACAACAACTCGTATGTTTTAACTTTTTAAATTACATTTATCACTTCATTTTTTATTTGAATGGAAATCGAAATGAATAATGTGGATTTTTTGATTGAATTTCCGTTTGTTTGCAGCTTTCATCGGGAATTTTGGATAATGCTGACATAAGTGTTTTAGATTACGACAAAGGTAACACATTTGTCTCAAATTAATTTTGTATAAAGTAGATGTTCAAATTTTATCTACTTTTCTAAAAGTCGGCGATATTCCATTGGAGTCCCTTCCACCTGAACACTTGGCTAATTTTTATGGTGCGGGCGGTGCTGCTCAAATCTCCAGTTCAAATCGTGTTTTGAACATAGTGAAACCGAACGGTGATACTGTGACTGGACTACAATATACAGATGATGAAAAAATCGAGGAGAAGAAATCGAAATTGTTACCAAAAAAACATAATGTAGACCTCAAAGTTGTGCGATTTGATTCGAGCAATCAGAAAAGTATTACAAACAAGTACATAAAACCTGACTCAACTGTGCTACCGTCCGTTGACATCAATTCAAATCAAGACTACAACAGGTACTTACCTGTAAAAGTGAATGGTGAGCAATTTCCAATCCCTGACGTTGAATCATTGCGCAACAAAAAGATTTCCAGTGTGGTCGTCTTGGCCCCAGTTGATGGATTAAGCTCAAGTGACAGTGTCGATGATGAAGATGTCATTGAAGATGGTCGATATGAAAGAGACGTGGTCGATTCGAAAGAAATAAAATTTTTAGCTGGTGATTCATTAAAAAACCTTTTACGTAAACCCACGAAGGAAAATTTCAAACGTTGGCTAGATAAAGAAGCTAAGACAGATGTTGACATGCAGAGCGTCGTTTTATTAGTTGTGCGGTAAGTTTCTAATATAAAATCAACTTAATGACATTAATTA